CGCCCGCGAAACCAGAGACCTCACCAGTGCTGGGCTTTCTCCTCGGCTCTGCTGGCTGGCTGTTACTAGAATACCTGCCTTTAAAATCCAACCCCCCCCACCGGGGAGCGGGGTTTCTGCTTAGCCAAGCCCACCAAAAACCCTACGAGCCCCATACCTGCCGGGAGGGCTGCTCCGGACCTCGCGCTGTGCCGGTGCGGATCGCTCGCCTTCCTCCAGCCCCTCCAGCTGGGCTTCAGCACGGATGGTTTCAAACTTCTTTATGGCCCCACGCCGGCCGAGCCATCTTCCCCATGAAGGAGATGCTCCTTGCCGGAGCAGAGGGGTTGGTTTTTTTTTTTGGTTTTCTTTTTGTTTTCTAACGGGATGCAAAAAGGGCTTTTCCATTTGGTCATTCATGAGCAGCCAAACCACCGGCTGTCAAAACTACGCGTTGCTGAGAAAAGGCAGCATCCGCCAGCGTGCTTGGCTTTACAGTAAATGCATCAGCAAAAAAAAATAATAATTTAGATGAGGCACCGGGCCGGCCTAGACCGTGGGGTTTTTGTGGGACGACGGCTGTGTCCACATGGCTGCTTCGATGCTGGGGAGGTGCAGTCCACAGGGACAGCCCAGAAACTGATGGTTTTTGTGCTATGGTGGTGGTGGGGGGGGCAGGAAAATAAGCGACGGCGCTCATTTACGATGGCAGTGGGGAGAATTTGCTCTGTGGTTTTTACTGGAACCATCCGCGCTGCAGGAGAGGCGGCTACTGGGTTTATATGGGCCTCCCCGGAGCTGCTCTTCTGGAGTAGCTTCCCCTCTGGGGCAGAACCTCACCTTGATGGAAAGAAGTCGGTAGGAAATGGGGGGGGTGGGGTGTGTGTGACACGGTGAGGTCCCTTCCACGCTCCTGCCGGCGGCAGCTGGCAGTGGGGCTGAGCTGGTGCCTCTCCCCACGCTGTTTCCTACAAAAACAAACTTGTTTGCCCCGGAGTGCAGGCAAATATGAATCACTGCCCTGCAGTGAAAGAGAAGAAAGGGTTTGGGGGAAGAAGATCCTCCCGCCTGCTCTTCAGGAAATCCAGGTGGTTGGGATGCTCTGGGACGCATGGGAGATGCTTGCACCCCTCTTCTTAAGAGCAGTTTTCCATGGCCACCAAGAAACACACCTGGGACCCCCTCAACTGGGAGAAGGACAATCTGGGATTTGCGCCTGACCCCCACCTCCAGGAGGCTGCAATTCATAGAATCACAGAATGGTTTGGGTTGGAAGGCACCCCTAGAGGTCACCCAGTCCAACCCCCCTGCAGGGAGCAGGGACACCACTAACCAGATCAGGTTGATCAGGGAGCAATTCCTGCAAGGAAAGTCCCACCGAAGGCTTCTGGAGCTGAAGATGCTTGAGGGAGGTGGGTGCCATGGTGTGCGCCCAACAACTGCCATGGTGTGCGCCCAACAAATGCCATGACGTGCACCCAACAACTGCCATGGTGTGCACCCAACAACTGCCACGGCGTGCGCCCAACTGCCACGGCATGTGCCCAACTGCCATGGCACGCACCCAACTGCCATGGCACGCACCCAACTGCCATGGCGTGCACCCAACAACTGCCACAGCGTGCACCCAACTTCCACGGCACACGCCCAACTACCACGACGTGTGCCCAACTGCCATGGAGTGCACCCAATGGCCGGCTTTGGCCAAGAGCCACCAAGCATCGCTTCCCGTTGGACTGCCCTGGTGGCACCAGGACTTCTCCAGGCGGGTCCCACTGCTGCCAGCACCCTTCTCCCAGGACCAGCATCCCCACTGGACTGGGACCGCAAGTGCCTTGCCCTGCTCGAGGCAGCCCTGCTCCGTGGGCTGACGTGTCGCTGGGCTGGCTGGTTGTTGTTGGGCCAGCAGAAAGCCCAGAGCCCAGCATCAGGATTTGGCCCTCGCACGCAGCAGTGCCCGACACAGGAGAACGCCGAGGCTGATGCTGATGAAGACTCTCGCCTTGCTCCATGAAGGCCAGGGTTGGGAGGAAGAGCAGAGGAAGGCAATGCTTTCCCCTCTGGCTCCTGATCCCAGCCCTTGACCTTCATCCTTTAAGGTTGGGGTTAGGGGCTGGGGGTCGCTCCTTTGGCCCTGGAGCCGGCCCTGCAGGGTGGGCATGGGGCAGAGCTCGCACTGAGTGCTGGCATTGGCTCCTGTTCCCCCCCGCTGGCGATGGCTGGCGCAGGATGTGGTGGGTAACCCAGAGCTTGAGAACGCCGTTAGATAATCTCTTCAATTTTTGCTTGATTTATCTCACATAACCCAAGCCACCTCCGGTCTGTAGATTAACGGGGTGAGTTCAACGCTGTCGCCAGCTTCTGCAGCGCTGCAGGCATCCGTCCTCCTCCTCCAGCAGAGCTGGGATGGGAGGGGGGACACTCACCCCGAGCGTCCCCCCACCCCCTGCCTGCCTCAGCCCTTCTCTCCGCTCTCCTCCCAGGCATGGGCCGCAGGGCGAGGGAGACTGTGCTGGGCACCCTGGGGAAGGCGACGATGTTACGGATCCCCCCCGAACTCCAGAACCTCACCCTGCACTGTGGGGAGGCCATGTGGAAGCGGGACACGGAAGACCCGCAGAGGAAACTTGTCCTGCTCAAGTACTCGGGTGGCAACTACACCAACTTCATGCAGGGCCGGAATCGCTTCCACAAGCTGGACTTTTCCCTGGAGATCCTGAACACCAGCCGGCAGGACAGGCAGCTCTACGAGTACGTCGTCAGCAAGGCGTCGGAGGAAGAAGTCTGGCAGATACAGCTGGAGGTGTATGGTGAGACGCGCCGCAATGGCAGGACCGTGCTGGATGCTCTTGCGGGGCTTGGGAGCAGGGCTGGGAGGGGGGTGATGGTTGGGGGGGTGGTGGCAGATCATAGAATCATAGAATCACTTTGGTTGGAAAAGACCTTTAAGATCATCGAGTCCAACCTTTAACCAAACCCTGCCATCCCACCACTAAACCTTGGCCCTAAGCACCTCATCTCTCCTTCTTTTAAATACCTCCAGGGATGAGGACTCCACCACCTCCCTGGGCAGCCCCTTCCAGACCCTGACAGCCCTTTCTGGGAAGAAGTTTTTCCTAATGTCTAGCCCACCCTGTTGTCAAGGTGGAGTCCAGGACCCTCTTGCAGCCCCATCTGGGCACCCCCAGGAGCCTTTTGCTGTGTGCAGACCATGCTCCCCCCTCTAATGCCGTTTGCAGCGGGTCCAGGGCCAAACCGGTTCCTCTCCATCTCCTGGGGGTTTAGGAGAGGCCAGCAGGATCTCCCAGGCAGGGACCAAGGCCTGCGTTTGCATCCTTCCCCGGACACAAACCTTTGCCATCTCCCTCCCCTTTCTCCAGAGCCGGTGTCCCATCCCAGCATCCAGATCCTCAGCCGGGTGTTGGCCAACGGCAGCTGCGCCGTCACCCTCAACTGCACAACGGAGCGAGGGGATAACGTCTCCTACAACTGGGCCAGCCAGGACCTCAGCACCTCGGGGCTCTGCTCCCACAACGGCAGCCTCCTGCACCTCTCCTACTCCCTGCAGGACGCCAGCATCGCCTGCGCCTGCACGGCCAGCAACCCCATCAGCAGCCGGGTTGTCACCTTCAACTCCTCCGAGTGCAACTACGAGCACGGGGGTGAGTCCCCGCTTGGGGACGTGGCCGTCCCCAGCCTCCCAGCCCTGCTCTTGCTTTGCAGGGGCCTTTTTTCATGCTGCTTTCAGCCACCCCACAGGAACCTTCCGCAAGAAAAGCGGCCGCTCCGTCACCCGCTGAGCCCTGCCCCGGCCTTCCCGTAAACACCGGCTGTGGAGCCGCAGGGGTCCCACCTGCCTGGAAGCTCATTCTCAATGCACGCGCTTTCGTACGCCGGGTGGTTTGGGGAGGGTAAAAAAAAAAAAAACCTTGGTGGCAACTTCCCCTTCGGAGGCGCTCGGGGCAAAAGTCACGCTCTCGCGCTCATCGGGATTTTTCTCGCGCTCCCTCGTGACGTGGGGGACTTTTGCCGGCGTTGGGCAGTGCGGTGGCTCCCCCCTTTCCCCGGGGAGCCAGCGGTGAGGTCACACCTCTACTGGGGCTCTGTCGGTGACCCGTGCCGAGAAAATATCCCCATGGGAAGAACGGCCGGGACTCTTGCTTTTAGGAAAGGGAGATGCTGAAATGAGATAGTCCGGGGGGGTGGGGGGTTTCGGGCTTGTTTCTCGCCCCCTTGCGCTGTGGGACACCCCTGGGTGCTGTCACCATTAGCGGTCACGGAGTGGGGCCACACCGGCTGCCTCCCTGCCGCGGTGGGAGCCCGGCTGGAGCTGCACAGCTCCATCCCCCAGCCCTCTGCTCAGGCACCCACGGTGCGAGGGTGTCAAACAAAGGGGCTGCCTCCCCGCAAACCTCCGGAAAGCCACCGGAGAAGTTTTTAGGGTTTGTTTTTTTTTTATCTCTCTGGCCCCCAGCAGGTTGTTGGGGTTTTTTTGCTGACTGGTGCAGCCTGGAGGCGACCAGAGAGTGCTCTGCTCGAGAGCAGCATTTCCTGCCCCTTGTTTCCTGTTCTACCAAGATCAGCAGCCCCAAATTAGGTGATGGAGATGAAGAAAGATTTTTAGCAGCCGGTTCTGCTCAGCTCTGGGTGCCCCTCGGCCCCAGGGCTGGTGGCTGACCCCCTCCTTCTCCCCTCTCTGCCCCCCATCCCAGGCGGTGCCGGGCTAAGGACGGAGCAACTCGTGCTGCTGGTGGTGGTGCCCATCGTCACGGTGGTGGTGATCATCGGGGTCTTTGTGGTGGCCCGTTTGGCCATGCCCAGGGGTGAGTGGCGCGAGGGAAGGGTGGTTGGTGGTCCATGGTGGGGGGGGAGCTTCGGGGTGGGGGGGTGGATGATGGCAGAGGCTGCCCCCAGGCAGCCCCAGCGAATGGACCAAGGGGCTGATCCCCATGGGCACCTCGTCTTGGGAGTCCCCTGGCCCTTGGGGGAATGAGCAAACTGTGGTTCTCTTGAAGCTCGGTGGAAAAGGCAGGAAGGAAATGAGCTTAAGAGGAGAAAAAAAAAGAGAGAGAAAAAAGAGAGAGAAAAAAGAGGAAAAAGGAGAAAAAGAAAGAGAAAAAGAAAGAGAAAAAGAAAGAGAGAAAAAAAAGAGGGAAAAAAAAGGAGGAAAAAAAAAAGAGAAAAAAAAAAAAGAGAAAGGTACCTGCACGTGATCTCTGGCGCCTCACCCGGATGATTGGCTTCTGCCATCGTTTTGCACAGTCTCAAGGGGAACTGAATGACCCCAGGCCCAACTCAAGAGAGCAGCATCTCTCCAGGTGCCTCACCTGGGCTGTGCCCCCCCCTTTCCCATTCCCTGCCTAGGGACACATTGGCAAAGCTGACCCCTGGCAGCCAGAAACCCGCTGAGCACCGCCGGGCAGCCGCAGCGATGGGAGTGCAGCGGCGTCCAGCCAGTGGGCACCGTGCCGGGGATGGATCCGGCATGGGGTCCCCCTTGCCATGCCCTGGGGCACAGGAGCTTCCAAAGCGCCGGGGCCGCCCTCGGGCCCTGCCGCCCTCGCAGCTCCGTGACTTGCTCTTCCCCCTGCAGCCAGCCCGGAGCAGGAGCACTCGTCGCTGGCCGAGGACGGCACCTTGCACACCATCTACTCCCAAGTGCAGCGGGTGGAGGTGAGTCCCGACCAGCATGACCCCAGCCAGTCTTGGCACAGGGGGGGAAATGTTCCTTTGGCGATGGGAATGCTCCTTCAGCCATGGGAATGTTCCTTTGGCGATGGGAATGCTCCTTCCGCCATGGGAATGCTCCTTTGGTGATGGGAATGTTCCTTTGGCGATGGGGATGCTCTTTCAGCTATGGGAATGCTCTTTCAGCCATGGGAATGCTCCTTTGGTGATGGGAATGTTCCTTTGGCGATGGGGATGCTCTTTCAGCTATGGGAATGCTCTTTCAGCCATGGGAATGCTCCTTTGGCGATGGGAATGCTCCTTCAGCCATGGGAATGTTCCTTGGGTGATGGGAATGCTCCTTCAGCCATGGGAATGCTCCTTTGGCCATGGGAATGTTCCTTGGGCAATGGGACCCGCAGCGCTGTCGCCGGCGGGGAGCGCAGGCATGACCCTGCCGGGGTTTCTTGGGTGGAGGTCTCGGATGGTGGCAGGAGCACCCAAAGGCCCGGGTTGTTGCTGGGTGCTCCCTCTGCAGCACCCTTTGAGATTGCAGCCCTGTGGCTGGTGACGGTGAAATTGTGGCTGGGGGGGGACTGGGGTGGCTGTGGGCTCCCCCAGGTCGCTCATCCCTGCTGTTCCAGGAGTCAGCCTGGCTGCTGTTAATTTGGGAATAAGGTTGGGTGCTGCAGCTTCCCCAGCACCCCAGGGTGGCTTTGGGGACAGACCAGGGCAAACTGGGGAGGAAATGGTGGGTGCATGTAGGGTGGAGGGAGGGAAGCCCCCCCCGGTGAGCTGCCTGCCGCTGCTCACCCTTC